AATGTTTCTGGTTTTCCCTGTGATGTCCTCCGGCTACTCTGTGATTTACTGAGTTTCCTGATGGACAGAAAGTTTTGGTAGCTGCTGAAGTAAGTTAACTGTTAGGCTAGTTATATTAGTCTGTGCCGCCCGGACTGGGAGCTCACAGCACTGAGGGAGTGTTCATATATTTACACCACTAGCAAAGGAGCTTTGCACTGAGGTTTTCAGAGGACAATGCTGGGAAGCTGGGCAAGCGGGAAATGTAACCAGACTCAGTAGCCTCTGCGGACACGACAGAGTAAATCTGACTCTTTTAGTCGTTGGCGAGAGCTTTGTGGGAAAAAAAAGGCTGCAGACAGATAGTGAGAAGGCCTTCTTTCTGTTAGACTACTCAGTAATATCAGCTGGCTTGCCATGTCTTGTGTTGCACTTGCTTGAGGTTTAGCTGTTAGCAAAGTTGTCAACTTGCTTTCGTGGAATTGTACTAAAACTTGGGACGCCAAATCGCATGAAGACCAAATCTTACATACTTACAGTGAAGGCATTTTGATATAAGATATGAGAAACATATTTCCGATTAGGTGCTCACTATGAGAGTTGTGACATAATAAAACATTCTTCTGTTTCTTTCTCCTGTTTCATTTTCTCTCTTGTAAATCCCAGTGCTATTCCCCTGTTATCTTGTTTCTTTTCCAGCTTTTCCTTCATGTAGTTTCTCTCTTGTCATGTCCTTCTCCTCTCCTGAAGCTTGTACAGCACAGATGGTAATGTAACAGGACAAATGCATCTGTCTCGCCTAACACCATCCATCTCACTGTAAGCTGTATGTGTCCTTGCACATTGTAGTGATCCCTGAGCTCCTGTTATTTATTTTCTTAACAATACAAAACGCCCCAGAGTAAAGGTAATTTCATATATAAAGAAAAAAGTTTTTTCCTTTCAGTCTGTGGCATCTGGACGCTCTTTGCTCACATCCATCCATCATCTTTCTATGTCCTGAAGCAGTGAAGCTGACAGTGTAATAAGAAATAAAATGACTTTTTTGAAAGGAAGTACTGCCCTTGCAGGTAGGGGATACCTTTCTTTGCACTTCACTCTCTTTGTATTTCAGATTTCTGACACATGCATGGCACACTAATGGGTCAATCTGACACCTACTTATACAGTATCTAGTCTCATATCTCAACTATTGAAAACTGAATTAAACTTGAACTTAGGATCACTGATGGAACCATCGTGAAACAGATTCCAAGAAACAAGATTCTGAGATAACCACAGGGAAAACAAACCGGCCGTATAGAAATGCAGCAATCTAGGGAACACATTTGGGAAAACTGTCACATACAATGAGCTTCACAGGCCAGTAAGGGACAAACCAAACACAGCTCTGCCTGCGTTTTGCACGGGTTTTACGGCCGCTGTAGTTTCTCTTTCATGGTTGGTTGCACTCTGCAATTTCACCACTAAATCCTACACACTGGTAACTTAAGAAATGGAATAAAACTTGGGAGAGGAAATGGGAACATTTCAGCTCAGAAACCTGGGTGGTCTACAAAAGCCATCTGAGTAATAATGGCAATTGGAAAAAAAACTGACAAGAATTTGTAACATTTTAAAAAAGTAATATAAGCCCAATAAAACAAGTCCAAGGAATGGGTTGAGTTTATTTAGTCCAGTGAAATACTGTTAGGCAATCATTCCAAGTTCAAGGTGCTAGGTATTTCCATCACTGAAAAAAACAAATAAATCCTAAGTCCTAAAGTAATAAATGTATCCTGTTCCAATGTACCTTTTAATCACATCAAGGGGCAAAAACAAACACAACGACATTCAGTGCAATGTTCAGCACATTCAGACCAAATCTGGACATCGAACACTCCACAATATGAGATCTTAAAGGATCTAAAAGACAGTTTTACCAAACAGCGTTCAAGAGTCAGAGCCCAGACCGCAGCCTCGCCCACAGAGGTTTTCCATTTTTAACCTCCTTCAATATTTCACTCTCTAAAATATGGTAATATGTCCTTTTCATGTGCTCTCTATTACTGGAAACACACCTCTGAGACTCATCAACTTCATCAATTTCACACTGACACACACACTCTCATGCTGCACTGTTAGTTAATTTAGCAGTGCCATGCTTTGCCGAACTCCATCCATAAAAACATCTATCAGTGTCACATCTGGCTGATGAGAACAATTCAGCCGACACACACCGGCACGTGTGCACACACCAACACAAATACATACACACAAATCATTCTGATGAGGCCTGGTTGGTTAATACAAGGCTATTTATCATAGCATACGCCTACATATAGACCCATACGGCTCCACATGCATCCTATTAAACCGCAGCTCTGTCAGGAGGGGCCAACGAGGCAAAGGTGACATCTCTGGGGGACAGAGTCGAGAGATGAAGAAGGAAAAGAGGCAAGACGAGAGAATAAATGGAGGATGAAAAGATGGAAGGAATGAAAGAAGGAATGAACAAATGAGAGTAGGAGAGGGTGAGTGGAGATAGCTAGAGAGGTGAGGAGAATGCATACCGGAAAAATAGAAAGAGTGAAATTGGAGATCCAATCAGAGTGAGTGCTGAGCTGGAGGATGTATGGAGCGTGTGTGTGTGTGTGTGTGTGTGTGTGTGTGTGTGTGTGTGTGTGTGAGTGTCAGTGTGGTGATCCATGAGGCGACAGTAACTCAGTCCACGTTGCAGTTTCCCTCTGGATTCCTGTCAACTTGACAAGAGTTCTGAGCTCCATCAGCCAGCTTCGGGCGAGGAGAGCTGGATTAACAGAGACCCAAAATAGATGCGAGCACACACCCACCCACGCACACACACACACACACACACACACACACACACTGAACATCAATGTTAATTACCATACAGACAGGTGATCAACACCACATACCCACAAATATGGAAAAAAGTAGAGAAAAAGATGCACACGTGGCACAATAATCTCCACGTCACACACACACACACACACACACACACACACACACACACATAGATTATAAATAGATAACCGGTGCAAAGTAATACAAGACACACACACTGACACACACTAATGACCCCCCAACGGCGCCCATTCATCACCACTGGGTTGCCATGAGATATAACTAATGAGCCATTACTGTTGCTGTTGTTACCCAGAATGCATTTCTTTAGCCCTCCAACTCTTGGTCATTGGTCGACACACACGTGTGACTCTGCATGTGTGTGTTCTGTATGTACCTGTCTGTTTCCACAGACTGTATCTCAGATTGTATCTCAGTGTACTTCAGGTCAACAATACAGATCTGACTGAGTGTGTCTCTGTGTGTGTGTGTGTGTGTGTGTGTGTGTGTGTGTGTGTGTGTGTGTGTGTGTAGATCTGAACAGCAACATAGAAATGTGTCTCTACTGGGAAACACAAAGGCAGCGTTGTAGGTTGGGAGCTGCTCAGTGTCTCACAGAGAAAGACTATTCATCTCCATTATGGTTAGAAACAACATGTAATTTGCCTCCTGCAGGTACAACATCCGTTGATACTGTTTCTCTCTCTCTGTGTATATCTATCAAGCTCTCTCTCTCTTTCACACGTGTAAGCAAATAGGATCAAAACCAAAGCAGAAAAACAACCTTTTCTACAGTTTTAATTCTGCTGGCTGATGGTGCCAGATCCAGATCTCTGAATCACAACCCACTTCTCAAGATTTGTGAGGATCTGTCCTGTCCAGTGCTCTCAGAGTGAGCTTGTATCAGGAAAGACTTCAGAGATATTGTCCAAAGTAATCTGGGTCTGTTTCTTAAATAATCTCCCCAAATTAGAAACTCATTCAGCACAGACTGGAAAAGGGGAGCAGACAGACCACTTTATTTAAACAGAGTTGCTCTTTGGTAAAGTCACCCTGCTGAGTCAGAGTCATAAAGCTCAAGACATCTTACACACAATGCCCTTAAGTGGAGTCAATTTAAATCAGTGGGACCCCCACAAGGGGTCGCCTAAGATTCATGGGGGGTCGTGAAGCCTTGTTGATTTTAAGGTGAAGAAAACTTAGTGAATAGTAGGCCTGTATCTCAGTATTTCATGAATTTCTATGAAGAAAACTAAATTAATTTGTTATTTTTAAAGCTCTAAGCACTGTATTCACAGAGCCTTCTCTCCCTGCTGAACAGCCTTTTTCTGCACTAGAAATCTTAAAGCAACCACAATGGCCAAACATCAAGAAAACACTCAATTCATCAAATAAGGAGCTTTTTAACAATGTGTGATTGTTAAATATTTTAAAATACACAGACAGAGATTGCATACATTGTATAAAAAGTTCCTAAAAACATCAGGAAAACTCATCTCTTATCAAATATTCACAGGAAATAATATGCTAGAATCCAGTTTGACACAACTTCCTGCTAATATGGTGTTCACTATGTGGGTTCATTATACAGTTAACCAGTTGTTCTGTACTGTTATTGTTAAACCCATCAAATATCCATAAAATATGTCACTTAGTTAGAGGTTGTCACTTTAGTCAATGATAAAAAAGGGAAAAAAAGGGTGGGAACCACTGATTTAGTGGTTGTTTTCTGAAAGCTGTGAGTTGTAACAAACGGTCTACATTAACATGAAATATTAACCAACTAACACTGGCTAGAAGAAAACTAGAGAGTGTTTAAAAGCTGACGAGGCACTACAGTCATCAAGCTAAAATGATTGCATTATGTAATAATTGCTCAGTTACATTAGCAAAGATCTGTCTCGAGCCAGAAATGGCACAGAATCTAACCTCAAGTCTAGAAACACTCTTGGTACATTTCACAAGCACTGGAGGTGAGGTGGACCCAATTCAGCACAGTGTGTGTTAAGCATTACACAATCTGCCCTTACAGCTCTGAGACTTTTGACGCTGCATCTCGTCTCCCCTGTCTCCTCTCGATGACAGTGTCTGGCCCAATTATTGCGATTCCCAAGAGAAGGAAATGTGCACAGAAAAAAAAGAAACACACAAGGCAGGAAGGAAAGCAAACTCACCACTAGTCTCAGGTGCTCCTTATTTAACTCTTGATCCACATAGAGCTCCTACTCACTGGCAGGCTGCAGAGAGAGAGAGAGAGAGATAGAGAGAGAAAGAGAGATTTTGAGATGAGGCTTTCACTTTTGATGATGCATTAAATATTTCACAGTTAAACAGAGGCAACGATGCCTAAAAGCATCTTAAAAACTCTGCAAACTCCCACAGGGACACATGAGAAACAAAGCTAAGCACACCAAACACCTTGCATGAATATGGAGTACCACATCCCACAGGAGTTCAAGGTCAGAGGAAGGGTGGGAGACAGAGATGGAGAGGAGACAGATGGCAGGAATACAGAAAATAAGAATGGAAAAGAGAAAAATAAACTGAGAGATATGGGTCAGTGATCAGGTCTCATTTGTACTGATGTCAGTTAATTAGGTGAGCAATCGTCCTCAGAGACAGGTCACAGATAATGAGCACACATAAACTGAAGTGTGTGTGCAGTATTTTTCCACCAGCGAGTCACATAATAACAGATGGTGTGAGAACAGAAAGAATAATGGATTGATGAAGAGAACCAGGGTGAGGCAGAGGTATCGGTGCGCTGAAATATGGGTTTGATTTTGGCTTTCTATTAAATAGAGTATTAGTGAGTCTGAGTCATCCTCTACAGATTACAACAGAGACTACTCTCTGACCACAGCCACATAAAAACTGTTTCTAACTTGGGATAAAGTTCTGCTCTTAAGAGCCGGTAAACCTGAAGGAATTCCATTTTATTGTTTTATTGTCTCACAAACAATTTCACAGTTTTTCACTCAGTCTACAAAAAGGTTTCGGGGGTAAAACTGATTTATTTCATTACGTTTGCAGAGTAAAATGGTTGAATCTCAAGATATTTAAGCGTGATATGTTAAATTATTAATATTGAAGACATGGCTCACATTCATGGCTCATGGCTGCAGTGACTGATGTGACTGTGTCCATATTCAGGGGCCAGGATCTGGTCCCCAAAGAAGACAAAGAAGTCTCCCCTTAATGGTGCATTCAGGTGCTTCAAATCATTAAATAAATCATTTTCAGGTTTATCACCAGGAAATTGCACTCAAACTTCCAACAAAGTGTAAAGGAAGTCAAAAAGGTGGACAGGCTGCAAATTCAACTACAGCTGCAGGTTCAGGACACTGAAAACCACCTTGTAGGTAAAAACGTCTCAGTGTACCTGGACCTCTCCTTTTACAACAAAACGTAAATACCAGGGACAAATGTACCTGTTATTTCAACAGAAGATGACACAATGAAAACAGTACAGGGAATTGGTAAATGTATTTATCTATATTTGTTTGTTTTTCCCTGTAAAACCCTTCTCGACATAACTAGGCAGCTGACAAGATAAAAATATACCTGGTGTTTATTATTATCTACATCCTGGAGTGGCTTTTTCCCCTGAATGCAAATGCCTGCTAAATATCTTGTGGTCATATGACATTTCTCAACATAACGCTCCATTAAACAACCAACCAGGAGAGAATGAATTGTATAATATTGAGTGCTGCACTGAATACAATACCTGTGTCTGATCAACTTAAAGAAAGCATTTCATGTATTCTGTGTAGAAATCAGACGATCCAGCCTCTGATTAGAGATAATTGTCTCCATCCTTCACTACAAGGTCTTGACCTCTATTAACAGGTCGATCAGAGCCTCTTCTCTACTCTGTCAATAGGTCTTTATCTGCTGAGAGGATTGGCTGGGCGGAGATGGGCAGAGAGATGACCCACTGAGTCGTATCAGATGAGTTAACCTCATCTGATACGACTCAGTGGATTGAGGGGACAGCACACACACACAGTAAACACCACGCAGATGAAAGGCCATACAGAAACAAAGACTCAGACACACACAGCGTGTACATTACTTTAGTTTTAGATCTGAATTTAAACAAATTCTTAAATCTCTCGAGTGATTTCTGTGTGATGAAGAAAGACAGAAGTTGTGCCCTTAAAAGCCTTAAAGGAAAATAGTTTTCAACAGAACCAAGAAAACAAAGACTAAATACACAAAATAGACAAAGACAGGAATCAAAAAAACAAAAAAAACATTTACTAACTGCTAATGTAGCTGCCGTTAGCTAACTGCAAAGACAGAGGACAATTTGACGACCGCGGTACGATCATTTCATCAGAGGTTGTCTTAACTCAAAAGTTGAGTTATATATTTTATTGGTTTCAGAGTGTATATATGATGTGTTTTTAAATAAAAGTGATTTAATTTCGCACAAGAGTGTGTGATACCATTCTCGTCTATGAAGAATTCAAAATCCTTCAACTTACTATCTATTAATATTAGTTGTTGTTGTTATCAATTTAATTATTAATTAGAATTTTCAAATTGATTTAGTCATACACTAAACTATCAAGTTTTAGCGAAGTTTATTTTTGAATATTTTTAATGTCGGAATGTGTTTTTAAATCCAACCTGGTTTAGTTAAGATTCACTTCAAACACGAAAACAAACACAGGAAGCACAGATTGTTTAAGATTTTGGATTCAAGGACATAAACAAAGACAAGATGGATCAATCAACAACGAAGAGTCTTCGCGCACACATCAGACTGGAGAAGCTGACAACCATAGAGTGGTCGCTTCTGAAATCCGGGTCACTCGATAACGAGACCGAAGAGGTCATTACTAACATTTGTGTGGATATCATTAATACGATATTCATCCACATATGGGGTGTTAAGACAGAGCCAACTGAAGGGACACTCCCAAATCCTCTAAAAGCCCTTCTGGATCAGCCAGATCACAGAAGAGCAGGGTATCTGAAGATGACGTCCACAGGTGTCTGGGGGACTCCATCTCTCTGGCCTTATCGGAGGCCACCAGTGTCCCAGACATCAGTTCCCGAAGCACGGAAAAGCTGACAGACGCTGTGATTACAGAGGTCAGAGAGAGTGAAAATGCTCTCCAAAAGCTCTGAAAGTAATGGAGTCAATGAGTGGAGCAAACCTCTACCAGTGGAGGGCACTATACTGGTTGGAACGGAGGAGTCATGCTGCACCCCCATTGTTCCTTTTCTGGATGAGGAAGAAACAGAGTTTCAGATTGGGCACTGGCTCAACCGGCAGATGATACTCCACAAACGGAAGAGGGACCACGCAAGTCTTGTCATGAAGAAGACCGGGGAAGTGGTGAGTGTGAGACATCGCCTACTGAGTGTGTGATTACAGAGGTCACAGAGAGAGTGAATATGCTCTCTAAAAGCTCTGAAAGCCTGACAATGGAGGCTGCGGAAGATAACACTGGAAAACTTGCCAGTGGAGGTCACTATACTGGTTGGAACGGAGGAGTTATGCTGCACCCCCGTTGCTACGTGACACCTGTGGAGGTTGAAGCAAAACCACCTTCTACCCCCATTCGATCCGTTAAGACAACAATGGGAGACAAGGCTGGTGCCACCCCTGTGGTTGAAGCAAAACCACCCTCCACCCCTGTTCGGTCTGTCAATTCACCTATAGGAGATAAGACTGGTGACACCCTGGTGGTTGAAGCAAAACCACCTTCAACCCTCGTTCCGTCCACTGAGTCACCGGTCAGTGGTGAAGCTGTGGTTGAGACAGCAGCACCAGCAGCCCAACAGTGGGACGACACCAGATGCAGGTTTATGGCTTGTTTATGGGATTCAGAGAATTATGAAAAGTCCGATACATCCGGACATTAATCTGACTTGCAACGACATTGAAGCCATCAGCAGGTCACTGGCACGTTCTGGAAACAGATCAGAGGCTTCGGGGTCGCTGTCAAGCCAAGCGGCGATCACATCAAGAAGGTCGCCAAGACGGTGCACAAGGAGTTGCGCAAGCGGACGCAGACGCAACGCAGAGATCTCGAAGATGTGCCTGCTGTCCCGGGATGCATCTGTTTACAGATACATTACTGAGGCACTAACAAAGCATCTGGTGACGACACAGAAGAAGACCGGCGTGAACAGATTCTTCTCACGTGTCTTCAAGACCGTGGCCAAGCCGTTCTCTGCTTGCTTCGGACACAAAGAGTAATCTTTGGCGGTTTATGACCAGACGCGTACTAACTGGGATGACACAGGGTTTACTCCAAGAGGCTTCGGTTGGCCCACATTTTAAACCATAATGAAAAACGAATTGTCTCAGTTAAGAGAAGAATTTTCTGGAGGATCGCGACACAGGACATCAGGTGTCACAGTGTAACACTGTGGCCTTGTAGCTATAAGGTGAAGGTTCAATTCCAGCCTTTGACCCCCTTTTGCTGTGATGAGTACAGAGTGCTCACTGTGTTGGCGTGAGTTTTCCCTGAGTAGCTTCGGTTTCCTCCCAAATTTAAAAAAATAAACAATTGAGCCCCCCCCAAAATAAATAATCTAAAATAAAAACAAACAATATAACATAGAATAAACAATCCGTCTAATAAGAGTCTCACTATGAACTACTGGAAACAGTAAGTGTTTTATACTTTCATGTACTACTCCGAGCAGATTGATCAGATCCAGCCGAAGTTTGGTCAGAAGACCTTTCAGACGTTGCTGAGGATGTGTAATAAATGTTGTGATGCTTCACTGAACGGCGTGTTTGTGGTGTTTGCTGTTTAATATAGATGTACCACCAGGACACAGGAAGTTCCTTGTACTTTGTCTAAACTTACACTACAAACTTCACACGTCTGATGAGAGTCCCACTCTGAACACATCTACATGCCAATATTCAGTCATACTGAATACCTCTGGTAACAGGAGTAAGCCTTATATGGCAGTAATTTCCTGGACATTTGTGTGGGATGATGTATACGTGATGCGCAGGAGCACAATGAGGCACGTCGCTGCTCGCAGCTTTTTCTATTATATTTATATTTTAAAAAACATATTTACAGAATTTAGCTTTAGAGCAATGTTCTTTGAGCACAAGAGATTGATTAATATTTTTTCTTTATATAAATTGCTATACCGGTATTTATAGTACGGATATTGGCACATTTTACTCGTTTAAGTTCATTATTAGAGCATTACTGTAAAAAAAAAACAACATGTATTCTCTACTTGTTTT